TTCTTTTCCCAGAAATGTCTTGAAATGTGAAGGGTGCATTCTGTGGCCCATTCCTACAATACTCATATCTCCGTCTTCATCCAGAGATATAGAAATGTGCGTCATCAATTTAAGTACACTCACCTACTTACACACACTCACAAACATTCGCATATACGCACAAAAGGGGGAATGATGTGGCAGTTCAGCCTCGCCGCCCAATAAAAACCTATTTCTGATTGCACTTCATAGAAACATATATTTTGAGGGAGGGCTGTGTTGACATCTTGTTTTCTGAGTAAACCATGGATTTAGACTGTTTCCTCAGATACAGCTTATTATTTTGGTGATGGAGAGATGGACAAATCTAAATTAAAAGAAAAAAGAGGCCGGGAGAGAACGTCTAAAGCTGTGGTCACCAAGCGGTCGATCAATCTTTGAGACTTTACTTTTGCTCCTGAAAACAATAGAATCATACTGCACAATTACATTACTACTAATTATTATATGGCTTAATTGAATTGTGATTGGTCACTTTGGACATTTCAGAGGTTGTTTATACTCGATAACACACCGCTGCTAAGCAAAAATAATGACCGTTTCAAGGGGGATTAAGGGATAGAAGGAAAGAGGTTAGAAGACAGAGCAGATATAAGGATTAGGGTGTCATCAAAGTGATTTGCCTTTATGTCTTTATTGGGATCACCATTAGCACTCGCATTGGCTATTCTTCCTGGGGTCAGAGACACACATATACATTATAGCCACATAAACACAACAAACATAAGAACTAATGTAATTAACAATCAAGTATGGAAGTGAAACAAAACGTATCATCCTATCCACCATCATTAAGCCGAACACAACGTTTTTTTTGCATAAACATAGAAAGACAGCACTTCCATTGCTCCACCTAATCTATTTCTATAAACACTTCATATCAAAATGTATTTTGAGGGCTGTGTGTACATCTTGTCTCAGTGGAAAATACACAGTCTCTATGTCTTTATTAGGATCCCTGTGAGCTTTAGCCCAATACTAACACACACACACACACCACACACACACACACCACACACACACACACACACACACACCCACACACACACACACACACACACACACACACACACACAACCAACCCCCCTCATCCAGCACCAGTCACTTTTCTGCCCTACTCCGCTGCTACTGCACTGAAACTGTACTTTGAACACTTAAATTATATTATTAACATTTTAAACTGTATACCCCGGTTATCTAGGCCCTTTGTTTTGTTTAATGTATACCATGTTTATCCAGGCCCTTTTTGTTTTTTGTTTGATGCATATATGTCACACTGTAGGACTGCGGGAAACGATATTTCGATATTTCTGGATGTACAACATGTAGAATTCTTGACAATAAAGCTGACTTTGACTAAAGCTTCGGATAAGAAACCGTTTATGTTGTTGCTTCAATGAAGTGGCTCGTTTCCAGTTGCAGCCAAACACAATCCATTATTGTCCCAGTGTGGGCAATTCAGTTGAACTTGCATACGTTGTGTAAAAGCACTGTAATGCACATTGTGCCGCTTTATTTTGAGCTACCTTTAACTTGTAACATCACAGCTACCATGCAGGGGATCAGACAGAAGAGAGGAGGCTGCAGAGCATGAACGGTGGAATACATCTGAGCGGAAAGTCATCATTAGGCTGAAGACTTTCCTCTTTAGTGCAGCATACAGTTATGACTGGTTTTAAACTGCCTTTTAAACATCCTCATGGACCCTTCATTTTATTGAATTTTAATGATTGTATTCTAACTGTATTTGTGTCATTGTGCTTTGTACCCATTAATTGGTATTTTCACATTTATCTTGTCATTTTACTATATTCTCAGAATATGTTTGTTGTTTTTACATTATCATTCGTGTTTGTTGATTTGTGAAGCCCTCTGAGACAAATGTGTTTTGTGATACTGGGCTATATAAAATAAAATTGAATTGAGTTGAATCATTGATCTGTGGACGGGGTCACAGCCTCCTCCTGTGTCAGTGATTGAGGGTGGGGGTGTTGCATTAATTAACAGGAAGTCATTTGGGGGAAAGCGGTCCCTATCTGGTCTTACGTGGTAAAATGGAGGCCCCCCCCCCCCAGTCTTTGTTAGAGACATGGATTTGACAGGAGGGGGGCTGGGGGGTGGGTGGGATTGGGAGAAGGAGGGAGGAAGGGGGTCCATCTGTCACTGAGCATGCTGGGTCAGAAGGCTTTTGTTGTGAAGGAGTGATGAGACAGATAGATGGTGTTTGTCACCTACCGCTGGTTTAATCAGGTGAAAGTGTCCCTGCTTGTAACACGTTTAAACCCCCCATCAACACACACACACACACACACACACACACACACACACACACACACACACACACACACACACACACACACACACACACACACACACACACAAACACGAACACACACACCGTCAAATACCACACACAGTGACACATAATGATTTTTCATTTTTAATTAATACTGAGAGTCTTGCTAAATTGATTAAATTAGCAAAAATATATAAATCAATCATGACACCACAAAGTGCATTTAACATGTACACCTCTTTTTCTGCTAAAAAAAAAATGTGCGTTCTCGGTGCATCCTGGGAGATTTCTGGGTCTCTGTGTCCTTTAATGTGTTTTATTTTTCGCTCTATTTCAGGCTATTTATAGATTTTAAAAGAGCACTTTTGAACAGTGGCTGCCTCTCATCTCCCACTGTCACCTCGACCCCAATTCAATCACAAACCCCTGTGATGCAATCTGGTCTGCGCATGCGTGTTCCCTGATTGAAGCAGCTGCGTTAAACCAGAATGTCAGCGGAAGTGAGGCGAATTGACCTTCAAAATAAAACCAATGTTTTTTACTACGAGAGAAGAACTGCAAATCAAAACACCAACCCTCACTGTTTAAATGTATTTAAAATGTAAAACTAAAGATAACATTTTCATAAAATCAAGATAACATGACATGATGTTGCTCAATATGCTTAATAACAGTGTTGTAAAGTAACTTACATTTACTCAAGTACTGTACCTAAAGGTGGGGTAGGTAATTCACTTCAGAAACACTTTTTGTTATATTCCATGGAATGCTCTTAACATCCCGATAGCAATGAATACATGAAATGTTTTGACAATAAATACATTAACACATTTCATCTGTGGAAGCCGTGGCGCTGTGAAAAGCACGACCAATCATCTGCCCCGGCCCGCGGCAGATAATTGGATGGCCTACCTGCCTGTCAGCCTTCCATCTGTGCACAAACTTATCTCGTGCCCTCATTCGTCATGTGCGTGTTCGTGTGTGTTGGAGGAGGGGCTCTGTAAGGAAGTCTGAAGGAAGGGGCAGATTTGTTTCAGTTGTGTACATTCAAATTATAGCTTACTCGAGCTGGTTTCTCCATTCTTACCCATACCTTTAAGTACAATTTTGAGGTACTTGTACTCTAGTATTTCCATTTAGTGCTATTAAACAGCTTTTGCTACTTTTAACTAAATGCATCTGTAAAAATTAGAGGACTAACTCTTTCAAGTCACATAGAGTCAAAGTATTTAAATATTTTACAAAAAGTCGATCAGAACCTTGTCTACAACAGTAAAATGCTACTTGATGCAACAACATTATCTATACATGTAATATATATATACATATTATGATATATACACACTGAAAGGAAATTGTACTGCACAATGATTACTTGTACTTTTTATACTCAAAGTACATTTAGCTGATAATACCTTTGTACTTTTACTTAAGTAGGATTTTGAATGCAGGACTTTTACATGTAATGAAGTATTTTCACAATAATGTATTGGTTATTTTACTTGGGTAAAACATGCTAAATTAAAGGCAGGTTTTCCTATAAATTCGTTAATTTCTGATTTCTTATTTTCTAAGGTTACATTGTTCTGTTGTCTTACAAAATACAACTAAATTAAAACATCTTGTAGATAGTTTTTTTTCTTGCATTTATTTGCATTGGATTTGATATTGAGGTAATCCAAAAGTGACAGAAAGTACTCATGTTACTTATATATTCAGATACTTGGATGCAACTCCAACAATGCATGAATATACATAAGAAATAAAAAAACAAACAGTGCAAGTGAATATTGCAAGCGATCAATTTGTAAGTACATAAAAAGCAGAAAAAGGTAAACTTTAAACATACAGAATAAGAATTAGATAACACAAAAACAGAATGTTGTTTTAAATGCACAATACTACTTAATGAATCAATTGGTGAGCGGTAAACAGCGTCTTCTTAAACATGTGAAGGTAAAGGCACTTCACAGAGTTCAGTTAGCAGGAGGTCTGGTTACTGATTACATGTTTAAATGAGAGTAGTGACCCTCCCAACCTGACTATTACGCTAACATTGAAGCAGTCCTGTCAATATTCATTTATTTTTGTATTGCTTTATTTATTTTACATGTTTTACTCATATTATCTATTTAACAGTTTTATTAGCGAAATGTCGTTTTAAGTTGGTCTTTTAACCTTTATTACAATTATTGTTATTACGTTTTTATTATATATATTGGTATTTTATATTTTATAGTATGTATTAATTTCGTCTTATATCTTTCTTTCTTTTTTCGAGAGGGATCATTATTTATTCTACTGTATTTTATTTGTATCACACCTTTTATTTCCTTCTGTCTCTTAAACTCTTATATCATGTTGCTAAACTGCGTGTTTCCAGAAAGCTCTTAGTTCCTGATCTGAGGTGAATTTTCAGTTTTAATTTATAATGTTTGCCATTGTGTCAGCTGCACCTGGTATATGAAATGGTCTATATAAATAAAGCTTTATTATAATAATTAAGTTGAAGGGAACAGCTTATATTTTGAAAGGGACAACCGGAAGTGTGTGTTAATGTTGAGTGTTTGCTGACGCAGGCTGCTGAGCGCCAGCAGTAGATGCTGTCCCATCATCAGATCACACCCAACGGGGCTGCAGCGACCCGCTCCTCCGGCACCAACACCATGACACCCGGACTCAAACCCGCCATCTGAGCCGCCCTGAGGAACCGAACCCCGGACCCAGAGACACACATCTTTACGCACGCACAGGGAGACTCATATATTGCAGCCAAAAAGACAGGAACGCCGACCGAGGCGAACTCCACTGCGCCGCGGATTTGCGCTTTATCTCCCCAAAAATAAAAAATAAACTCACTCCCTGCGAGTTATCTCACAACCAAAAATTAAATAAAATGTCATCATCGGTTAAGGACAGCGGGCATTACGCCAACTATGTGGGACCGTACCGCTTGGAGAAGACGCTGGGCAAAGGACAGACAGGTTAGTGAAAGCCTCTCCTGAAAGCCTCCAGATGCGGGAGTTGCTGGCAGGGCTCCCCGCATCAACACGCCTCAAACCCGGGGTGCATTATGTTGCATCGCCGCTGCGGGTTCTGAATGGGAAATGTCTCTAAAGTGCGGGTGTTTCTGTTGGATGCGGCTTTGAGATGTGCTGCCTCCGTGCTGATGATGATGACACTGTGGTGGTGGTGTGCCTTTAATCCTTGTTGTCAGGCAGAGAGGGCTCCCTGATAATGGGCCCTTGTGATTTTTCTTGTCTGTAATTCCGTTAAAGCATCCATCTGCTGAGGCTGCTCTCTCTGCAGAAGAGGTAGTGATGCTGCTGCACTGTCCGATACACACACACACACACACACACACACACACACACACACACACACACACACACACACACACACACACACACACACACACACACACACACACACACACACCAACACACACACCACACTATGCAGCTGCAACATCACACAATTCTGCAAATGTGTTCTAATGGTGCAGTCTTCTGAGTTCCTTTTCTCCATGGCTGCCTCATATTTAGTGTTACTCAGGCCTTACTGTATGTTTCAGTAGGCAGTTATAGATAGGAAACATTATGAATGCCCCTTCCTAGTGGATTAATGTGTTGTGTTTGGTCTTAGTTGCCTACAATGTCTTTATTCGATTAGTTGATGTTATGCTTATTTCATGCTGAATGACTTCCGATTAACTTGAAAGAGCAAACATCAGACAAACACAAGATGGATCTAAAGTTGTGCTTTTTAAATCATTCTTTGTAAATCAAATGTTGATGAAAAATGGATTTTAGCAAAGGAAAGCGTTAAGATACATCCATTTGAGGTTTATCAATGGCTGCTAGTGAAGAAGTCAAACCAAAGAGTGATCTCCAGTTCTTCAAGAGTTATTTTGGGTGAAATATGTTCAGTTCTTCTTGGGACTGTTTCAGTGTTGATTCAACTTCAGCTGATCTTGGAGGCTGTAGATTGTGGTGCTGTTGAGTTGTTTTGTTGTGGTAAAGTGGAAGATGTTTCTAACATTTAATTTACCGTTTATATAATGTGGATGGACCAACTAAACAACCCTAAGTATAGTGCTGCATATCATTGTGCTGGTCAGGTATGACAAAGGATGTTAATGTTTCCAGTTGAGTTTGCCAAGAAAACCTTGCATCAGGACCCATATTTAACTTATTTAAATTTAAATAAGGATACATTGGAATTCATATATCACAGAAGTAGAGACTCTTTTGAGAATACCATCTAAAAATTTGAAGTGAAGTTTCTGAGTAATAACTCGCTATTTCAAATGCATGCTGTAGTGTTTTAGATCAAACTTTCCATAACCTTTAGTACCATGTTCTTTCTTGTTTTCACATTTTATTTTACAAGTTTGGATATTTGGGATATTCTTCAGGAGTGGGCTCCTGCAGTAATTATCGGAAGGAATCATGTCATCACTTTGTTAAATAAGCCGATAAAACATTTCTCGTAAGTTTGAAACAACAATGACAGTTGACCAACTTTATTTCCCCCCAACGTCAACAAGCGCTCCGGTCTCAGCTGTGTGCGTCACTTTTTAGTGTCCCCCGGAAACAGTTTCCGTTGTGTTCATTCGGCGCTTTTTGTAAACGCTGCGCATGTGTTGTCAAGTTGATGAAGATGTTTCTTCCTTAGTGTCTTGGCACATTTTTGTATTTGTATTTGCATGGTTTCTGAAGCTTCAGCGCATTTATCTTCATGGTTAACATTTAGGCCGTTGTAACGCGTTTGCACTTGTCGGCTACCGTAAAAAACACATTCAAAAATGCACTTACTTCCAATCAAGGCAACAGGATGCTGACTCATATCCAAGGTTTAGAACTCATTCCTGCACCACTCATCAGAGCAATGTTTCACTGACTGAAACTGTGAGTGTTTGTGAAACTGGTTGAGTGCATAATCCTGTTGAGAGTTGTATGTGTCTGTGTGTGTGTGTGTCTGTCAGTGTTGTGAAGTGGAATGATACTTTGCTTTTTCAAGGCGTTTGGTATAAATCGGAGGCACAGACAGGGATATCCGTACAGTATATCATTAAACCTCCTCCACAAGTGCAGAGCAAGCCCACGCTCTGTGTGTGTGTGTGTGTGTGTGTGTGTGTGTGTGTGTGTGTGTGTGTGTGTGTGTGTGTGTGTGTGTGTGTGTGTGGTGTGTGTGTGTGTGTGTGTGTGTGTGTGTGTGTGTGTGTGTGTGTGTGTGGTGTGTGTGTGTGTGTGTGTGTGTGTGTGTGTGTGTGTGTGTGTGTGTGTGTGTGTGTGTGTGTGTGTGTGTGTGTGTGTGTGTGTGTGTGTGTGTGTGTGTGTGGATCTCTGAGGGAGAGGACTAATGCTTGTATTTTCTCAGATGTTAGACATTAATGAGATTTGCTTATTCTCAATAAAGCGCAACAGGCACAGCATAATACCTTATTACATGGTTCAGTTTGTGATTACAATTTGATGTTTGAATACTCAAAGGACTTTTTTAAGATTAACAAATATTCTGCAACCCACATCTGGCAGCTTATTTAATCAACAAACCATTATTTTGTAACTTGTAATTTTTTGATTATTTTTAAAATTATTTTTTGTGACCTGATTATTACAACAATTAATTTGCTCAAATTACACATCAAGAACTTTCCACACAAGATGAGCTGATTGGGTGTATTAAATAGAAAGTTATTTAACCAAGGCATTGACCTTCTTCAAATGTTTATGACATAGATTAATTTCAACACTAGAGTAAGTTAAGATCACTGGCAAATATTTTGCCAACAGCCTGTTATGTTCGCTTAGGCCTTTTTCCTCAGTCATACAAGAGCACTAAAGCAAAGGAAAATATTGAACGACCCAAAACCGTTAGATGGCGCATGATGTAAGCTGCAGCAGTGCAAAAATACCATGGTTGTGATGAACAAACTTTGTTAAAACAAATACGTGTGGATATTCCTAACAGAAACATACAGTACATGCTTGTGTGCCGACATGAAGTGAACAGCTGTCTACAAATGTTCGTGCAAAAAGTTGTACTGCTGCAAAAAGCCTTTTTACATTTGCAGAGTTTGTAGTGCCCCACATTGTTTGATCCACTTTGAGGGGTGCAAGCGCACTTCTTGCACCAATAACGCATGTTATGCAAACTCTGTATTTTCTTAATTGATGACGCAAATTAGACAAAAAACGAGCAGCAAACCTTTTTGTTTAGCAGGATATTCTCCAGATATAAACACCACTTGATGTTGAACTAAAAAGCTAACATAAGGCTATAAAGGAACTACAGCACGGTCACATGACTTCACGTCATCACCGCTAAGAATAAAGGGGGTTAACAATGAGCGTGATGACGTTTAGACATCTCATTTAGACACTTGTTAGCAACCACCGTTTTCTCATTCATCAGTAGGGTGTCTACCAAGGTATTATATGTCGTATAACAACAAACATGTTCAGAAAACCATTGACCACCAGTCCAGTGGACTTATTTGCTGACTTGTTTTCAGGGTTTAGAACTCATTCCTGCACCAATAAAGGACTAAATATTTTTCAGTGAACAATAACAAATGAATCAGGTTTTAAACCAAAGAAAACAGCAGTGTCTTTATCCGGGAGTGATGCAAAGTGTTTGCAACAGCTGTTAGCTTTAGCTCTGAGGCTAGTATTTTGAATTCCATCTCAGATAAATGCTTTTCCTCTTTGTTCCCAGTTACAGTTGGAACAATGCCTTCATGGTGTGTGTCTGCTGGTCGAAGCCGAATGACGAGAGGCTGTGCTGACTCTGAACAATTAGTCTGTGTGTCTTCATGTGTGTGGGGGGGATTGAAGTTTTTTTTTTACACTGGCTTCCCAGGCTCCATATAGCGCTAATTTTCTAAGTGTTCGCCAACAGTTGGGACGGTTGTCATGGTTTCATCTTTCCTCCTGAGACAATGGCCACTCGATGATCACTACAAGACTGAATCTGAAACTCCTCTTGTTCTTACTGTAGACCAAGATCTGCCCTCAACGCTTTACAGTCTGTGGATAAACAGGAAGTAGAAAGAGTGCAGATTGTTTCAGATAGCTGATAATGAGTGTTAAGATTTGACATTGACAAACTACAACTTTAAAATGATATGACATGTATTTGTTGGTGATATAAAACAAATAATTATATTTTTGAAACTAGGAAAATAACCGTTCTGGATTCTGAGTACTCAAGGTTCAAGGTTCTTTATTGTCAAACTAACATAGCTACAGAGTAATTATGTCGTTGAAAATCTTATGTCACAGGCTTCTCCAACAATGCAACATAATAATACAGATAGTAAAAGTAATACAAAAAGAAAAATAGTTCTAAAATAAAGTGAGTATGTGGAATAGTGCAGTACGAGTCTATATACAAGTTATTGGAATGATATATATTAGATAGTAGATATATATTACTAAGTAGCAGATGAATGTTTTGAAATTGTTACTTTAACTATTCATGCTCAAAGTGCATTTTCTGATAATATATCTGTACTTCTACTTGAGTAACAATATAAAATCAGAACTTTTACTTGTATTTGAGTATTTGAGGATAGTAGTATTTCCACTTCCTCTTGTCCTCTCTCTTTTTTTACCTCACTGTATACGACCAAGGTCTCCCATCTGCGCTGAACACTTTGTTGGTAAATAGGAAATTTAAAGAAAGTCGATTTTTTTTAAGGCTGCCTGTCATAGGTGTGTAAAATATGACTGCCATTCACTGGCTTTGATTTGCACATTTCATGTCAAGATATATATATTTTTTAGTCTGTAAAATACGACTTGTTGGCCGGGACATCCTTGCTTCCATAAAATACTTCATTCAGATATTTTCACATGTTATTTTGTGTGTCCTTATACAGTAAATTGCTCGCTGCCATAAGAGTGCGTGTGTGTCTGTGTGAGAACAGTTAAATGAGAAGTAAAACTGTAACGATAAAGAATAGCAGACAATGAGC